TAGTCAATACAGGATCTCAATAAATCCCATATGTAAAACATTTAATGCTTGCTGTTCTCATGTCAGTAGCATATGATCAGTTCCATGAGAACTGTTGCAACTAGCATTAGGCCTGGACTCAAAGCCTGCATCTGAACAATCATGAAGGTTGCATGTTTGAAGTCAAAACCTGAGGCCTCCCTGCTATTTACCTCATGTCAGTCCCCTGCATATATTGGAAATCACTTCAAGTCAGGGAATGCTACAGCACCCTCAGTCCCAGCATGTGTGAAAGGCCTGGCTCCTGCATAGTGGCACCTTGCTGGATCCATGAGCAGAGCCACTGAGGTCAGTGGGAATTATAAGAGTGCAGCAATCAGTCCACACTCCAGGTCCGGGGCCTAAGCAAAGCTCTGCAGACTAGATCATTTACATGTAAATGTACAATACACTGCTCTGTAATATACACTGTCTGTAAAATACACTGCTCTCCAATAGTTCATGATGTCTCTGTGATACTTCTGTAAGGCCTTTACAGAATAGAACATAGAACATAAGAATGGCCATACTGGGTCAGACCAAAGGTCTGTCCAGCCCAGTACCCTGTCTGCTGACAGTGGCCAATGCCAGGTGCCCTAGAAGGAGTGAATTGAACAGGTAATGATCAAGCGAGCTCTCTCCTGCCATCCATCTCCACCCTCTGACATACAAGCTGGGGACACCATTCCTTACCCATACTGGCTAACAGCCATTTATGGACTTAACCTCCATGAATTTATCTAGTTCTTTTTTAAACCCTGTTATAGTCCTAACTTTCACAGCAAAAATTTGCACCCCCTCTCCTCCACCGCCATGTGGCACGGCCCCGAACCTGGGGCACAGCTGAGGGGAACTTGTACTGCTTCTTCCCCCACTCCCTACAGGGGCCTGGCTCCTGCATGCACTAACCCGCCAGTGGAGATGGAGGAGGGTCAGGCTTGAAGCAGGGTCCGGCTCAGAGCAGAGAAGCAGGGAGAAGGCTCCAGCTGCCGTGAGCTGAAGGGATAACGGGGGGAGCAGAATGGGATTAAATTGTAGCCTCCCTAGCATGGTGCCCAGAGGCAACTGACCTCTCCAGCCCCCTTGCTACGCCACTGCCCCCCCTCCTGCAGATCTATCATCTTCTGCATATGCAAGATCTGTGAGAGCCGTCCCATTAATCTGAAGTTAGTGTCTGTGGCACCAGCTTCTGGGTGGTGTCTCAGTGCTGCCACATTCACCTTCAAAGAGGGGGCTTCCCAAAGCAGGCCCTTGCTGCTGACCCCCAAAGCATCCACAGGTCCAGTCTCCTTTCAATGGGCCCACTTCCCAGGGCTCATTGATCTTGGATCTGGCTTCCATCCCTTCTCCAACCTTTGTAACTGCCCAGAGGTGCTCATCTTCCGCCTTACACATTCCCACCTCGTTCACCCCACAGGGACAGTCTCTGCCTCACTTGTCCTAGGGACTATTCTACCAAGACTTAATACAAAGTTTCCATGTAAAAGGACTCAATACAAAGCTAAAAACTTCAATGAGAGAATAATTAATAGAGACATGTCTACATCTGCTGCAGGGAGACACCTCTGCCTGCCTCCACCCCTCTCCCCCCAGAGTCTACAGCCCCATTGCAAAGCGGAGGAGGGGAGGAAAAGAGGCTGAGGCCCATCCAATGGGACTGAAGCAGACATGAGCAAGCCATGCCCGGGAGCCATTCTCCTGTCCATTGCTGGTGCTGTGTTGCTTCAAGGCACGCTGAAATGCGGACACCTCTAGGGTGAGCTGGACAGCTGTTTAACACCTGCACAAGGTTTCAGGCAGGGGGCAGTGTGGGCTGCCTTCCTGCAGAGCCCCCTTCAGAACTACTGTGCCCTCCTGGCTTAGGAGAAGAATAAACAGGAGGATTAGAAATTAACCCGCCCCGTCTCACGTCCCCTAGGCAGGAACTGAGCCATCTACATTAGGCCCCAGCTGGAGTATCATGTCCAGTTCTGGGTGCCACATTTCAGGAAACATGGAGAAACTGGAGAAAGTCCAGAGAAGATCAACACAAATGATGAAAGGTCTAGAGAACATGAGATATGAGGCAAGGCTGAAGGAATTGGCCTTGTTTACCTTGGAAAAGAGAAGATCGAAAAGGGACATGAGAGTAGCTTTCAAGTATCTAAAAGGGTATCATAAGAAGGAGGAAGAAAAATTGTTCTGCTTGGCCTCTGAGGTTAGGATGAGAAGCAATGGGCTTAAATTGCAGCAAGGGAGGTTTAGGTTGGACATTAGGAAAAACTTCCTGCCTGTCAGGGTGGTTAAACACTGGAATAAATTGC